TTTTTCTCCCTTTTTTTTTTTCATTCAAGTTCTTGAACGGACGACCGACAGGTTAACGGCGAAGATAATTATATGAAGGTCGTGGCATCCTCTGGTTTTGAAAAGATACGAGGCTAAGCTCGCCGTAAAGGGGGTCGAATGCGGCAATCGGGTGCCTAAGATAGCAAAGAAGGATGACGGTGCCCTCGCAAAGTGAAGATCCGGTGAAGGGGCCTCAAGATTTCGGTTGGCTCGTTTACGCCTGTGAAGTGGAAACTAGAGAGAAGACTACTGAAAATGTCAAACGACAACATTTTTTGTTGAACCCAAAAACTAACCAAACAAGTTAATGAAGTGGATTATATCAAATGGTTAACCTAGACAAAGAGAGTTGGATAGTAGTATCAGACCCAATAACAAAATGTAACCAAACGGAGTTAAAGACCATATTGGTAAATTTGCAGGGTAGATATCTACTTCAGTCCCCATAAATTAGGGTTTCTCTCCTTTTTGGAGTCAGCTCCAGTTCCTTTCATGGGATCTTGTTCATCTTTGATTCTCGTGTCCTTTTAGCTTTCCCGATTCCTTTGTAGTTTTGTTTTTATTTGCTTGTCCTCCATTTCTCGTTTTGTTTCGCTTCGTTGGTTTGAGATCTGGCATGGTGTCCGGTAAGTGGTGTTTTAGGGTCCTGAGGGTTCGGATTTAAGGGGTGTATTCCAGGGGCTTGCGATATTGGCTGGAGAGTAGAGTAGAGGTAGGATGGAGAAGGGGATTTAGGGGCTTGCAAATGGGCCCTTTCTCACAGTTTTCGGCGGTGAGCTGTGAACCCTTGCCCTTGCTGGTGGAGGTAAAGGGGGCTTTCCCCTTCTCGCTAGAAGAGGTCAATTTCATGAATCTCTGACAAACAATGTAACATATTAATACGAGTGTAATGAATTTCACCCGAGCTCCTTCAACTCGAACGGCCTCCGCACCTGCAAGAACCCAATGCCAGGGGATCGCGGCGTCGGGCCTCCGATGCCTAAGTCAGTACTCGATCAAGAGGGAGAGAAAGTGTAGTATGAAATGAATAGAGAATGAGTGAATGTGATACCTTAGCCCCCTTTTATAGGGGGAGTGTACTTTTTTGGGCTCAAGTTGGGCTCGGCCCATATCGTTATGCTATATGTCATAGTCCCTACGTGGGCTTATCCTCCAATATGTATTTGTTTTATCCATCAACTATCCTATATCATCTGGTCCCCCCACTCTGGTCGAGTAAGAATGACTCGATCCAAGAGTGAAATGTCTCTTCGATCACCAAATAATCATAAAACCTCCCGATGAGCACCAGGAGGCCGTAATGGGTCGAATATCGAATGACCATCTACTGAGATAAATAATTGTAGGACCTTAAACAGAGGTTGGAAAACCGAAAGCCAAAAGCTGAATGACAACTGAGGTCGAAAACTGAATCCAAGAACCGCATGACAGCTGAGGTTGAAAACCAAGAACCGATAGACCACTGAGGTCGAAAACCGAGAATTGAGAGACCGCTAAGGTCAAACCCAAGAATCGAGTAACCGCCAATGAGGTCAAAAATCGAGAACTGAGAATCGAGAGACCACTGAGGTAAAAAACTGAAAACCGAGTAATCGCCGATGAGGTCGAAAACCATATGACCGATCTCCCAAAGTCTTGAATTTGAAATTTTGAACTTAAATTTTCTACTTTTTCAATCCCCTTGTTTGAGCTCTCTCTCCTCTCAATGATAGGCCTTTCCGGTTACCTCATCATCCTATCGCCCCCTAGTTCAAAATTTAAAATTCAAGCCTGCTGTATATCTTCTCAAAACCCGAACGACCAAACTTCGTGAATTGTTCTGAATGACCTCCCTCGACCTGCCACCGAGGTCGAAAAATAAATTCGACAAGACCGAACCAATCAAAAACCATCAACCTGCTCGTGCTGTAATGAATCCCATCTACCTGCCTTTGAAGTCGGGAAATCAATTCGACAAAACCAGAATAAAATGCAATCAACCTGCTCGGGCTGATGCATTGATTGAGCATTTATGGAGGAATTTTCTAATTCAGAAAATTAGTTGGAATGTTATTGTAACAGTTGTTTGTAATGATTTTTATTTTTTTTAATTGTATTATGTAATTTGTATCATTTTGTTTGAACTTATGAAGCAGTCTCGTGTTGTTATACATAATTTTTTTTATTACAATTTGGGTAATAAACATTTATATAATATTACATATTCATATATATAGAAAATTATTTGAAATAAAATAAAATATATTTTTATTATTTGAGTAATTAATATTTTATATAAGATTAAATATGTAACACCCCGACTTTTTAATACTATCAGAGTACGCGTTTTTCGCAAATTTTTCTGAATAAATAAATAAAATATTTATTTTGCGAAAACTGATTCGGAGTGCTACCGTGAAAACTTGACTTTTCTGAAAACCGTTAAATTTTTAAAACTGATAATAAAACGGTTATAACATATTAACCGACTAGCGTCGGATCAAAACTGAGTTTAAGTACTGAAAGTTTTAGCGGATTAACAACGTGGTCAAAACATATATGTATACATATCCATAAATATGCTGAACAGCTCGCCAGCTCACTCCTCGTCCCCGACCCTGCGACCTGAAAAACATGAAATGCGTGGGGGCGTGAGCACTATGGCACTGTGCTCCGCAGCTCATACTAATGTAAACATTGAAAATAATAACAATATCATGATCTTGGCATATATAACTGAACTGAAACTGAAACTGAAACTGAAACTGATATCTGATACCGGTCTGATCTCGCGACATAAGTCACGTAACTGATAACTGAATATCTGTCGGCACAAACTAATACCGTAATCTGCCGGCACAAACTAATACCGGACACCATGTGCACACTCTAGTGGGTAGATTAGGCCACTAGAACCCAGAATGGACCGGCGACCATTCCGAGCGGATACATAACATGAAATACATACCTCAAACATGGTAGAGTAATTATAATCAATGTAGAACTTAGTCTGAGTCCCCACCTGATCCGTGAAAATAAAGGTAGTGCTGATTCTCGTGACCTGATCAAACTGAAATATAATATAAACAATTACTACTGACTATGCTC